AGTTAATATCCCCGGAGAGGATACGTAGTCTGTGCAGCTCAGGGTGGGGCATGGCGTGGGAATGGAAGAAACAGCCGGCTGGTTAAGATGGTCAGAGGACATGGCCTTCTTACGGATGCCCCTGTGGGCAAGGTGAGACACTGGTCCTAACTGACAGGAAAGAGATCTTCCTCACACTCCCGAGGAGCGCCAAGCGTGGGTCAAGGCCATTGAATTACGGGACAGAATCTTGCATTGTATCATCACTGTAACCCACATTCTAGGTATCGTGGGAAGAGAGCATGCATGTACCTAAACGATATTTCCTGTGTTTTTAGAACATTCTACACCACCAGAAATTGCAAAACTGCAAGCTTATTTAAAATCGAGTCTCAACGTGCCAGTGTATAATCCCGAAGGTCTCAACATCAGTATCCGGGTAAGCTCACAAAGTTTCTCTCCACTAGGAATTGAAATAAAACTTACCGTCACATCTAAGCGCAACAGCTAAGCACTCGTGGCGAACTGAAAGGCTGGTGGTTCAAACCCACTCAGCAGCTCCAGAGGAGAAAGGCCTGGGAATGTGGCCCCCTAACAATCCCAAAACCAAACTCTGCACGGAGTCAGTTCGGACTCCCAGCAGTGGAACTGCCCCTGTGAGGCTCCAGGACTGGAACTCTTTCCAGGGATAGAGAGCCGGACCTTTCTCCCTCAAAGATGGCCAGTGCTTACCAGCCCAATCCATAGCCACTACGCCACAGGCTAGGAAACCTATGGGACATGGGGTGGTTCTAGTCTCTCGTGCAGAGCTAACTCAATGGCACGTAAGAACAAATACCACTAGTATAGCTAGCCTGAGATAGAGAAAGTACACTCTGGCTTTATTAAAAGTAGATTGTGTTGTACTACATATGTAGGTCAAATTATACCTCACCTAGTGTCCTTTGATCTAGAGATATATTTGAATAGTGCAAATTACATGAACTTGTAATTTTCCCCAAGTATCACTTCCCATTTATTAGGAACTGAAGAGCAGGAACTTCCGATTTGTTTTCTTTAAAAAGGGCCAGAAATAAAAGTTCCTGCACCCTCAATAAGGAGCCGTGACAGTGCAATGGGTTATGTGTCTGACTGCCCACCACAAGGTCCACTGGACAAGCCCATCAGCCACTCTCTAAGAGAAAGAGGCGACTCTCTGCGCCATCAAGATCGACAGAAACCCACAGGAGAAGTTCCACTCTGTCCTGTGGGGTCACCATGACTCATACTCAACTAACTGGTAGTGATTCAAATGTTCCGAACCCCAAAATGTGCCTGTCAGAGTTCACACTTCTTTGTTAAAATTAAAATAGTCCAGTCCTGTTATAAGATGGCTTCTGCACAGCTTCTGCACCTGTGCACAGAAGCTTTATTAGGGGCTCATACAACTCTTATCACAATCCATACATACATCAATTGTGTAACGCACATTTGTCCATTCATTGCCCTCATCATTCTCAAAACATTTCCTCTCCACTTAAGCCCCCGGCATCAGGTCCTCATTTTTTCCCCTCCCTCCCTGCTCCCCCCTCCCTCATGAGCCCTTGATAATTTATAAATTGTTATTTTGTCATATCTTGCCCTGTCCGACGTCTCCCTTCACCCACTTTTCTGTTGTCTGTCCCCCAGAGAGGAGGTCACATATAGATCCTTGTAATCGGTTCCCTCTTTCCAACCCACTCTCCCTCTACCCTACCAGTATCGCCACTCACATCACTGGTCCTGAAGGGATCAAGAATTTTTCTTATAAAGAAACCTGGCGTCAACCTCACCTCTGAAATATTTAACATGAATTATCCGTCGACTTCTGTGTGTATGAAAATGTGTTCAACAATGTTTACTACATAATTTGAAGTAGAAAGCTTAGCTCTTCAAGATATGTATCAAAACTGCTAGGAAATGCTACCTTTTGGACACTGTAGATGGCACTCACACCTTCCATATATGTGCCTTTTCAATTTTTCTTTTTTTATTTTCCTCTCTTCTCAAGCTATGTTCCGGCTTTACATTATCCAATATGTAGTCTCTGTTTATCTCTGTAAATACTGTACAATCTCCCAGACCAAGAAGAAAAGCCACTGCCATCTAATCGATTCTAACTCAGAGTGACCCCACAGGACAGAGAGGAACTGCCCCTTTGGGTTTTCAGACTTTTAATTCTTTTAAAGGCTGCAGAGTGACTGGTGGGTTCAAACCACTGACTTTATGACTGCCAGGTCAATGTATCACCAACTAGCCACCATAGATCTTTAATACATTTTTCCCCCTGGGAACCCTTTAATGCCTAATTCTTTTTCAAATTTTTCTTACCTTTTTTGTCTTATCCTATAATTTGTGGGTCTGAATTCTTCTCGTGTTAGAACTAGGATGATAAACTAATAAATTGGTATAACAGATTTGCTGAATTTATAGTGGAACATCATTATCTAAGAAAATAGAGCTGATGGGGTCTATCCAGTAGAACTTTCTGAATCAGCACCTCAAACAACCCCAGGAATAAGCCTAAAAACCAAGACACCAAGGGAAAAAAATGTCTGTGATTGTTGGGCTGTGTTATCTAACATAATGGGATGGAAAGGGTGTTTTCTAAA